ACATATGGGGCTCTGTAAGATAACAGGATACATGTTCCACAGGGAGCCTTTGAGATTTTGTACAGGCAGTCCCCGGGTTACGTACAAGATAGGGACCGTAGGTTTGTTCTTAAGTTGAATTTGTATGTAAGTCGGAACTGGTACATATTGTAGGGGAAACTCTAGCCAAACATTTCTCCAGAACTCAGTTTTATTCTCCCACACCTCACTTCCCTCAGTCCTTTATGCTCAAGCTGAGGTGTCTGCTGAGAAAAGCCGCGCCGCGTCTCCCTGGTCTGCTGGGGGGAAGCAGGTAGTGCGGGGTTACCTCACCCCGTTTGTAAGTAGGGATCCGATGTAAGTCGGATCCATGTAACCCGGGGACTGCCTGTACTTCTGTATCTCAGAGACATGGTGTAAGGGTGTTTATTTTCAATCGTAGATAAACTCTTCCTGGCCCCTTATTCGTACTCTGTATTCTTTCCATGCTACTGTGTAAATCATCTTGAGTTTGGACCACCTACCCAAACATTCTTCTCCATTTCATTACTCCTGTATGAGCTAGCTGATCCAGCATCTTCCTTCTTCTGCAGGGGCTGTAGCCAGGATTGTACAGGGTCCAAGTGAAACTAGCAACAGCCCCCAATAGGCTTCAGGGTGGGGTTGTGTGTCTGCAGCAGCATTTTCAATCAGGCACACCAGTTCTCTCTACCCTCCCCCAAATTATCCTGTTGACTTATTATTCTCCCAGTCTGTTTCCAACCCCCCTTGCTGTAGTTCATCTGGACTGGAACCCATATGACAAATCTCCATTCTTTTTTAATTCCTCTATTACAGTCTGATTTTTTCCCCCCCTTAGTCCTGCTTTTTTTCACTCTGAAGCAAGCACCTCAGTTTTACTCCAGGAACATTCCAAATATTTGCAAGCTCTGTACTGTGCTCTGGTTTTCCTTCTCTGCATCCAGCAAGTTAGTACTCGTATAACCCTTCAGCATCATTTTCTCCTCTCTTTTCCTCCTGCCAGCAGGGGTGAGCTGAGTCCACCCTCCCCTGGTCTTTCATAAATCTATTTCTCCCTCAGGCCTGCCAACATGTGTTGGGTGCTTTTGTTTGCATTGTGCTTTAGAAGAGAGAAAGTATTTTAAGTGTTGAATATTTGTTTTATTGCTGTCTGTGGCAGTGTTGTGGTTCAGTCCCTGTGAATCACCCAGCTGTGCCCCATAAATTACCCACAGATTATTTAAGGGGAAGAAAATAAGATTCTCAATAGAACCATGACTGTATTAGCCTGTTCAATGGAAGAAAGACAAGGTTATTAATGTCCTGAACCACTTAAGATGCTCTAGTCTTTTAAGGGAAGCCCAAACAAACAGTCTAAATTAGGCAAACTCACTTAGACAATGGCTTGCTATGAATGTGCTGAACCATACCCAGACTCCCCTTCCTTGCAGAAGCTTCCCTGCTGCTTCTTTTCTGAGGAGCCCTGTCCCTTTAAAGTTCCCTTGAACTCCAAACAAGGCCCAGCTGTCCTAGTTGCCTCAGGCTTCCTTAAGAAATCAGCTGCCTTGTTATCTTTCCTGCTCCAAGGGATTAACTCCTTGAGAGCTAGCCTTCCTCTTCAATTGAGACCCTGCTCAGTTCAGCCAACCCCCTGCTATTAGTGCTGATAGACCTAATTGTCAACGGCCCCTCTCCCCCCATTTCATCTTGGAAGCTCTTTATGTCCACCTTCCACAAAAAATTGAAAACCAATCTCTCTCTTAACTTACTTGCAGAAACTAGACCAACATTTTCACATCTTGCAGTTCACTAACACCGTCCTTTATCAACAATACCACTGTAAATCACGGTGCCCAATCTGCTTGGCCTCCTTTCAACAAACAAGAAATGCTGCTATTAATCAGTCTCCTGGCTTGCACCTAGGTCATCATTGCCATCCACCAACAAGGCTATTCATGCAGACCCTTGCATGCCTCATTTTCCACAACAGTCTAAATAGACTATGACTATTACAGGTCAGTTGTCCAGGGTATAAAATAAATTACTTTAATTTCCAGAATTTGGAAATAGTCACGGGGCTTCTCATAGATCCATAGTTAGCATAGTTTACTCATGGTTGAGGATATGGGCAAGATTGAGTTTTAAAGCTGGTTTGTGTTTTAAACTTCTGAATTTTGTGACTTTCCGAAGTTTAGAGTTTAATATGCCATCTAATAAAGTTTGTCAAAATTGTGTAGCTACATAATAGCACTATTGTATGAGTTAAGGATAATGTGTTTATAACATACCTGGCACATGATTTGAAAGCAAAGAAATGAAATCTTAATCAACTTAACTTCATGCCGGGTAAAATCCTGACACTGTTGAAGTCAATGGGAATTTGGCTGTGTTACCCACCATCTGTTCCTCCACCACATGTACAAATGTTGCCACAGACAAGTCATGGCAAACTTAGTTTTGCTTCAGTAAGGAGATCAATTTTCCAGCACCTACTTCCCCTATCCTACCTATGCACAGGACTTTACAAATAGATGGAAGACAGCAATTTCTCTTGGTACGCTATGGACCCCTAAACACAGTCTCAAACCACCTCACAATCTGTTTAGGGTATTGATCTTCACAGCATTCCTCTGAGGCAGGAAATTGTTTTTATCTGTATATCACAGATGGGGAGCTGAGGCAGAAAGAAACTCAGTGACTTGCCTAAAGTCACACAGGAAGTCTGTGCTAAAGTAGGGACTTAAACTCAGATCTCCCATGTCTATGCTAGCACTTTACTGCAGAGCCATCCTTCCTGTTAAAATGTTCTTTCTGAAATCATACTTAATACTTAATACAGTGCTTTTCATCATTGGTGTTTACAATGCTTTACAGAGGAAGTCCCATCATCATACACATTTTATCGATGAAGAAGCTGCGGCCAAAGAGGTTAAGCGGTTACCTAGAAAGCCAGTGGCCAAGCTAGAAACAGAACCTCTGTCTCTTGAGTTCCAGTCCAGCGCTGTGTCCAATTGAATAGGCCACATGGCTTCCTTTGTCATAGAACCAGACTACATCAGGAAGGTGGAAGGGGAATTAGATCAAGTGGAAGCTTGTTCTGCAGTTCTTTTTTTTGTCTGATTAAATAGCTTAGAAGTTAACTTGGAATAAAATTCTACAATAATTCAGTCACAGTACTGCCTGTGATTAGTGGATACTGAGTGTGTCTGTAATGCTTACTGTGTGCTCTAAAGACCCAATCAAATGATAGAATTATAAGTTGGTATATGTTTTTCCTCATGTCATTGTAAAATCTTACTTGGGTTGTACCACCACTTAATGGTTAAAACTGAAAGGGTCTATTTAGCACCTTTAGAGTATGTCTAGACTACATGTCTCTGCCAACAGAGGCGTGTAAATTAGACATACCGATATAGTCAATGAAGCGGGGATTTAAATATCCCCCACTTCATTAAACTAAAAATGGCTGCCACGTTGTGCCGGCTCAGCTGATCGTCGGCACAACGTGACAGTCAAAACGCGGATCGGTTTTGTCGTGAAACGAGGTTTACAGGATCGGTTGACAAAGGCTTTCCTTGTTGACCGATCCGCGTCTTGACTGTCACGTTGTGCCGACGGACGCGCAACAAGGAAAGCCTTTGTCAACCGATCCTGTAAACCTCGTTTCACGACAAAACCGATCCGCGTTTTGACTGCCGCGTTGTGCCGATGATCAGCTGAGTGCCTCCCTCTACCCCTTTAATCAGTTAACTAGTTAAACTTAACATTTAACCAATTAGCCAGGCCATGGTGTCCAATCAATTCTGAAGTAGTAGCCACTATAGTGGCTAATGCTATAGCGAACTAGCCACACTCAACTGGCCAAATAGCCACATGTGTACATGGTTACACTTTCACATTCCTAACACAGGCACAAAAATGGACAGTAAGGGCTTATCTGGACTATGTGGAACAGTCAAAAGAGGATATGCAAATTCCTGCGGAATTTGCATATCGTCTTCTGATCGCAAGAGCTTTCAAAAGTGAAAGTAGTTTAGAAACTGCTTTTTTGGCGAGCCCCCTCCCCTTTATCGAAAAGCT